GAATTTATAAATAGTAGTCTGTGGTTCCCCCAGGCCAATAGTTCCTGATTGCAATTGGTTTTCTTATTTCGGGGGTTCACGGCAAAGCCTAGCGGCGGCGTGAGGCGACGTAGTTCGTAACAGCTGAACGCGACAGTTTAGTACAGAGTCGGACTTTAACTAAGGTATCTATTATTTAGTAGAATAATAGACCGAACATTTTCAATTAATATTATGAAAAAATATGATTTGAACAATGTTTTTTTCTAAGTTTTTAATTTAAAAACAAAAAAAAATGTTTAAAACAAAAGAACCTTTAAAACAAAGAAAAAAACATGTGTTTTGTATAAAATAAAAAATTACGTGTTTTTTTTCAACCCTAATGAGTCCATAGTTATGAAATTGCGTATATTGTCCGATCCGGGCTGCCAAGATTTGCAAAATAGTGTCTACGTCTAAAAATATAATGCATTTCCAACTGATACTTTGTCCAAGTGGAATTTTACATTATTGCGACGTTTTTCTTTTAATTTTTATCCTGTTGTTTAACCTCGAATTAGTACTTTTTCAATTATCTACTGGACTTGAACCGATTCAGCTCTTCTCCCGCATACCGATAATGGTACGACTCTACCGTACTTTATTGGTGATATTTGTTTACCTATAAAAGATGTCTCTGGTTCTCAAGATTTGCTTTCATTTTCATGACAAAGAGCTAATCAAAAATAGACAAGGAATGCTAAAATGAAGCTAAAAAGATGATGTGTTAGCATCTATTACAGTTTCATTATTTCCTCTTTTTATGCCGAGTACTGTTGTTTATACTCAAACCACACTGTATTTTTATAAATTGTGAAACTGTGTCTGTAAAACTGAACTTTAGGATACAGGACATTAATTATTGTATAAGTGAAAGTTAAATCACAATATTGTTTTCATAATTTATATCTTTTCAATCTTGCTACTGCTTTTAACAAATATACCTCAATAACTTATTGACATTTGTCGTAGTTTCACAAATTTTATAAACGTCTAGAGAGATATAACTTAAATGTGTGTTTTGCTTTTTGTAGACAATAAGTTCTGCAGCTGTATTTTGGCATATTTGCATCAGACTTTTTGTAAGCTTCCTAGGATTCCAGTATTCTGACGATTATGCAAAAATGAATAAAATATTTGTTTTTCAAAACATTCATTTGTAAGAAAGAAGTAGGGTCCAACCTATGCTTCAGCATCAGCTACGTTCACCTAAAAGATATACTTGCACATACATGTGACTTTGACTGGCGTTCAAATATTTGGAAAAATCTCTCCTCACAAGAAGCTTTGTAAAGTCAAAGGAATACAAATTTAAAAAATTATGAACAATTGAAACACTTATCAAGACATACTAAGGAACATTAACATATACAAGTATGGGCCTGAATTAATACTTTTCTGTTGAATCCAATTAATTTACTCTGGAATAGCTTTGAGCTACCCGTTGGTACTAGTGTCCATAATTTTGTCAGACATCCAATCCTGCAGAGCAAATATGTTTGAAGATAGAAAAGCCAGATTTCTATGTGTTGGGTTTAAACTTTATGTACAACTGTCTGATTTTATTGAAATTCATAATTACTGTTCAAATAGACATTAACTATTCAACTTGTTCCATGTCAAAGAAAAATTAAATCAAATGATAACTTTGTTCTGAAAATTGCCTTTATTGTAAAGTATAATTTCGAAAACGTTTCATGGAATTGTGTGTGAATAGCGGTTTTCAAATCCCTATATCAAATTAAGCCTTATTTATTGTAAATATCAGTCTTATACACATATTTTGAATTCTATAATTTTCTAGGTGACATTTCTTAAATATTCCGATCATAACCAAGACACAAAAGCAATTAGAACTACTGAACAAATATCAAAACAATAAGTTTCCCAAGTCATTCTGTTTCCAAAAGGTTACCAAAGAATCTGTTGCGAAGAGTTTCTCATTTATTAAAACTAATGCTGTAGGGGCTGATGGAATCTCACTCATTATGATAAAATACATTTTTACTTTGCTCTTAGGCCATATTACATCTATAATCAATCACGCAATATCAACATCCTGTTTCCCTGATGCTTGGAAGCAGGCTATCATCATACCTATTCCTAAAGTAGCGATTCCCACGTCTGTAACGCAACTTAGACCAGTCAGCTTACTTCCCGCATTTTCGAAGCTTTTGGAACGGGAAATGAAGATACAAATATCTCAGTATATTTTCAGTAATGAAATAGTTCCATCAATGCAGTCTGGATTCAGCGAAAACCATAGTACAACAACTGCTCTAGCCAATGTCACTGATGATGTTATAAGAGGCCTTGACCAAGGAAATATCACTTGTTTAGTTCTGCTGGATTACACAAAAGCTTTCGATATGATAGACCCTGAAATTCTGCTACTTTTGTCAAATAGAAATCAAAAGGTCTTAATATTTTCGAAAATGTCACAGTCAACTGCTATAAGTTTTGGTGTTCCTCAAGGTTCCATACTGGGACCTTTACTTTTCTCTCTATATATATCGGATTTCCATCAATATGTCCATAATTGCACAATCCATCACTATGCTGATGATACTCAAATTTATTTTAGTTTCCAACACAAAGATTTTAAAATTGCAGAAGCATTGCTCAACGATGACTTAACAAGGCTAGTAGACATCTCGTGCTCGCATAACCTAAAAATTAATCCATCTAAATCTTCAGTTATGGTTTTCGGCTCAAAAAACAAAAGAACATTGATCGAAACGGAAATTAACCTTAAAATCCATGATTGCCGGCTTCCTATAATGAATGAGTGTAAAAACCTGGGACTCTGGATTGACACAGAACTAAAATACAAAAAACACGTAAATTCGTTATGTAGTGCATCATACTGCATTTTGAAACAGTTTTATCCACATAGGCAAATAATATCTACTTCAGTAAAGCTGAAACTGTGTGAAACATTAATTATATCAAAGATCAGTTATTGTGACAGTATATATGGCGCAACTCTATCATATAGTGAACAAAGCAAATTACAGCGTATTCAGAATTCGTGCATCAGGTTTTCTTGCGGAATACGAAAGATTGATCATATTTCTCATAAATTTAGGGAACTTGGTATTCTGCAGATTAAAGGCATGCAAAAGCTTCACTTATTGACACTCACACATAAGGTCTTAGCTACCAAACAACCACAATATTTGCATAATAGGTTAACACGATGTAGTGACATAAATCAACTGAATACAAGGAATAGGAATATGTTAGTGATACCCTTACATTCTAAGGCTGTCTACAAAAAATCATTCAGCTACAATGCTATTAAATTATATAATGTTACATTCCAAAACTATACGTTATTTAATTTTAAAAAGAGGCTTAAACTAAAACTACAAGTCGAGGTCTGATGATGAGTACAAAATGCTAGAAATATGGACTATTCTTGTAATTATTCTGTGTTGTTAATTATTTAGTAATTATTGAGAATTATGGATACATTTTTGTTGGTAGAATGTTTTATTATTATTATATATATATATATGTATACTACTGTAAGTTGAGTCAATTTAAATTCATTTTACACTTTTGTTGCTACTGTTATCATTGTAATTGCAGCTCCTGATGATGATGGCAAAGTCCATTGAAAGCTAGAGAGAATTAAAAAAAGTATATATATACATATATATTTTTTTTTGTTAAGGTTAAGTTTAAGTTGATAAACGCTAATCTTAGCGACACTTCGCCTTTTTTGTACTTTTACCTAGGTACGAAATATAGCCGATTTATTATTATTATTATTATTATTATTATTTTCTGATAATCTCCTGAATGGTAAATAAAATGTTCCAATTTTAATACCTTTTTGTCTATTTCTTACATTATTTTAATCCAAATGGAACAACTTTGAAGACAAACATAATCATCGAAAAATCACATTTTATTGTTTACTGTAACAAATTTCACTTGCATTAAAACTAAGGTCACAACTTATAATAAACAGATTGGAGTGCAACAAGCCTTTATTATTCCACTACTTTATTCTTATAACACACCCCACATTTTTGAACAACTAAACATTCAACTCCAGCTGATGATTGGGAGAAAGCCTGAACTTCAGTTCTGGATTAGGAAGTAACCTTTGGTTGGACCCTAAAAATAGGTCAATGGTTAGCTGGCTATGAAGAAAGCGAGAAATATAACTTGGATATTTTTGGTTCCGTTATTTGATTCTATCAGAACTGAATATATCTGCAAAACAATGACAATTTATTCTTCTTGCCCCAATATTATTATACATAGATTTCAATCTACATAAACACATTTAGTAGTCCCCATCCTTATCTGGTCAAATCAAAACCACATATGTTTGAAATTCTTCTTTGTTGAATGACATTTTGGTTCCAACAGAGACCTTATCCAATATGAAAATCATAGGATAAGTTTTAGATGTTGACACATTTAACATTTAGTGTTTAAACCAATAACTTCATGAATTGTGTGACAACCTATTGGTCTGTCTAATTATATGAAAGATATTGTTATCTACATTCGTATCTAGATATTCTCAAAAGATAGCTTCTACACTAAATCCATCTTTATATCATAAAAAGAAACTTCTATTAAACGTTTTTTTTTCACAGGATACCCTTGTATAAGTTCAAATCAATTAGAAGGAGTCTTCAGGAAGTTGGAACTGATGTTAGACAAGTTATGTTAAATGGAAATAAGTATAGGAGTCAAAGTGGACCAGCTCACGAGCCCCTTTCCAACTACCTAAATGTAAGTTTCCATAGAATCGATTTCTTTCATCTTTGCAAATAACATACAGTAAACCATAAAGCTCTGAAACCATGGAGTCATACAAGTTTATGATTACCAATATTGCAATAACTTAGCTACCAAATAAACAATCAATATTTAATCATAATATAAGCAACAAATTCTATAGAAATAGCATAAGAAGTATAAGGCAAAGGTTATCATTGGTGAGTATGTATTTTCATGGATTAAACATGAATCACTTGTGCTTCTTTGTAATAAGTATTTAGTGATGGATTTATATCACAGATGAATCATTTTTGCTATTGAGTCACATTGACCTAAGATCCTGTAACAGATATGTCAGGCATTGTACTCTAAATCTAAACAACATATCAATTAATTTTGGTGCCACTTATACCCTTAAAAATATGTAGTAATAGGTGTTCAGATTTAGCATTGTTGGTTAAAACAAGTTCAAGGTATAATTCTAATTCTTTTATTGCTTTTTCATCTAATGGAAAATAGATGGAAACTTTATTGCACCACACATACTTCAGAGATTCTACCATGTTCATATTATCTACTACTTCTGCACTTGTAAGTATCATTATCTTAGAACTTTTATCAGTACTTGACACTAATATTCTGGTAGATTCCATTCCATATCTAGTGCCATACTTTAAATGATACTTGATATAAATAGAAAAATTGAACCCTGGATGTCTTCACTGAAATGTTTTTTTCTGATTATTATATCATTCCCATATATTACTCTTAATCTATAAGGCGTACGGAAATACCCAAGAAATATTATTTGAAAGTAGTACTGTTCCAAATGATCATCCACTTTGCCTTATAAGATAAATGCATTTTATTGGTGAATATTGTTTGAAAAGTGGAAAGCACTATCAGCTGAAAAGCTTGACACAAAAAGAATTCTAAGTTTACCTACATTGCTATAAAATGCAATAAAAAACAAAAACTCAATAACCACTATATCACTAAATGTTCCACGTTATTTTTGTAAATGTTTCATAATATTTTTTTCATTTTCAGGCTCAGTATTACGGCCTCATTAGCATTGGTACTCCACCACAAACTTTTAAGGTTATCTTTGATACAGGATCTTCCAATTTGTGGGTGCCCTCAAAGAAGTGTCCTTTTACCAACTTAGCATGCTGTAAGTATTGCTCAAGACTAATTATTTGTTTCATTTGGTGTTATTGAATGAGGTATGTTTAAATGAAGAAATGTAATTTTCAGACTTCTATTCTCAGTCCCTCATATTCCTGAAAGCGATTTCCGCATTCGTATTACATTACTTGTAGGTTTTTCTATAAAATCCTTTGAACAAACTGATATTCACTTCATGGTCACTTATAGTAGGCGCGGAATGGCCTAGCTACTCACTAGCAGCTAGCTAGTGCACACAACATTTTACCGATTTCTTTTACATTATATAGGTTTTTTACGTAATACGGAAAGCTTTCATAAAAATCTTTAGTCCAATTAGACTCCTTTTGTGAGGTTTTTAGATTTCATTATATGGAAAGTGCCAAGATTTTTCATCATACTTTGCTCTCAACCTGATTATGGTTGTTTACAATACACAAGTCTATTAATATATTTTTCTTCAGCAAGCAAACTTAGCATGACACTTTTATGACTAGTAATGTAAAGATACATTTTTGCAGTACTCCATAACAAGTATGACTCTTCAAAATCATCATCCTACAAGAAGAATGGAACCTCCTTTGCCATTCATTATGGTTCTGGAAGCCTTGATGGATTCTGGTCTACTGACCATGTCTCTGTAAGCATCTTCTCTTCTATTAACTCATTAGTTATATCAAATATTGCTACACTGTTTGTTGTATTTGTTATGTGTCGCTCTTATTTATTTAGTTTGGTGGGCTGACAGTTAAAGGACAAACCTTCGCCGAGGCCATGCACGAACCTGGTGTGGCTTTTGTAGTTGGTAAATTCGACGGCATCTTGGGCATGGGCTACAGCAGAATGTCAGTAGATGGCGTTCCTCCAGTTTTTTACAATATGATCGATCAAGGGCTCGTGAAAAAACCAGTGTTCTCCTTCTACTTGAACAGGTACTTGGCAACAATTGTTTGATGCTTTCAGTTTTTGTATGATTAGCATCTTGAATAGATTGAAATATGTGTTCATTTAGCTTTAAGCTGCAATATTACATTAATATGAACATAAAAATTACTTTGATCTAAAATACAGGGTGTTAATAAAGTGTGTAGACAAACTTTAACCATCAAATCCTTGGTCAATTTGAAGACGGAATTTTCATATGAACATGGGTCTGCAACGGCTTTGTTTTCAAGCTAGAGCATATTGGCACTAAAAGAGATGATATTGTTCTAAAAAATTATAAACGAATGGAACGTATTTTATTTTAGTTAAGTATGCCCTGTGGTGAGTAACACATGATTTACAGTTGTTTTCCGACCCTCCATGTACGTAGATAGGGATAATGTTAACCAATATTTTTTTTAAAAATAGCGTGACATTGATTTGTTTTGATCCCAATACTTTTAATACTTAAACATTGTGCTTATCTAGACACTTATGACGTACCCGAAAACAATTGAATTAATTTATTTTCTTAAATAATTCGTGACCACTTTGAACATTTATTGTAAAAAAACTGTTCGATATTTTATATTGTTGTCATTGTATTCGAATATTAGTTTACTGTATAAAACTATTGACCTTCTAAATGAATGTTTTTTCCAAAAATACGGGACAATACTATTTTCATTCACGTTCATATTAAGCCTCAACACTTGTAAAACCCGCAAAATTTATCATGGGTTATACCAACTGTTGAATGAATACGCTTCATTATTCATAGAAATATTTGGAACATTACTCGTATTTCCTTAGTAATAGTGCGCTAGCTCGAAAAGAAAGCCGTCACGATCATATGATTCAAATTGACCAAGGATTTGACGGTTAAAGTTTGTCTACATACTTTATTAGCAACCTGTATATGGTCCTTAATGTGCTGTTGAATGTGTTTACATTTTGTGCTATTTTTGTTTTTAGTGTGTGTTTTTACTTATAGTCTCAACTCGTCAACAAAGATGGATTTTTCCAATATCCTAGTTTTGAACCTTTCAATGTTATAATTGTCTTTTGATCTTATGTCATACCATACCAGATATTTTCAACATAAATTGTTGATTTAGTGTCGATTTGTACTGTTGTACCTAAAATACTAGATATAATACCCATATTCATATTAAAAATTTTAACCTCAATACTTATAAAAAGAGTCCGATGTATTTATGTAGTGCCATGAATAATAAATTGCCTTTAGATATTAAGCAGATTACCAGCTTATCTTTGTTCAAAGTCAATTTCGGAGCCTCTTACTAAATAAGGCATTTTATAGTAAATGAATTTTTGTGCGAGTAACATGTTACTTTTATGTGTTTCTGTATCCCAATTCTTTCATGTCATGTATTAGTTATCCACATCTTTTCTTTTTATTTTGACGTTTTGTATCGTATATACAGGCTCACACAAATGAAGCATTATTCTATTCTATTGTGGAATACTGGGTACAATATTTATAATTTTAACAGAGTATTTGTAAGTCTATTCTCAACAAAACACACTTGATCGTGTAAAGTTATCACAACTATTGTTTCTAGCCCCTTTTATAGTTTTCCACATTTTCTTAATATCATGTTGATACGTATCAATACATGGGTCATAATATTGCACTTCTTGTCTACTTATAGGATTAACCACTTCATATCGTGTTTTCTTATTAGGTTAAAAAGTCCTCTGTTCAGCCTGTAAACTTGAAAGTACTTTATAGTCTATCTGATTCATTTTGAGTTATTTTAACCTCTTTATCAACCCACTTTTGTGCCCAGACGATATTGTTGAAGCGATGCCACTTTTTCTATACAGTCATTTACGTTTTTTATTAGGTTCATAAATGGTATTTCCACATCTCTGTTGCTACATTATTATATTGGCTTAATTTATTTAGTAAACATGTTAATCAAAATGACAAATTCTTCTTCACTTTCCTCGTTGATATATTTCTGAAGAATAAGCATTGATGTGTAAATGATGTCCGTGACTACCAGCTTACAAAATGTAACTTGTTGGTCTAAATCTTACTAGATTCCTATAAGTTATACTATTAGAGCTAAACAGGATAAATAAGGGAGATAAAAAAAATCTCGACGTATATAAAAAAAACTTACAAATCAAGTGACTCCATGGCTGGTCAGTATGTACAACAGAACAAATGTCAACATGATCACTATTTTGATTTAAGAGATCCTGCAGCGGCTCAGGGTGGTGAATTGATCCTAGGTGGGTCTGACAAAGCTCATTACAAGGGTGAATTCACTTACCTGCCAGTAGACCGTCAAGCTTACTGGCAGTTCAAGATGGACAGGGTAAAAGTAGGCTCTGACAAGGTCTTTTGCGCTAACGGATGCGAAGCCATTGCCGATACTGGAACCAGTCTCATCGCTGGACCTTCCAAGGAAGTCGACGCCATCAACAAGGTGAGATCAGACTAGGTCTTTATAAATCTCTGAGGATTGTGGCTTTATATTTTCGTTTGTCAAAGCGACATATCATGTATGATAAAGTCATTATCAGTTGTTAGAGGAGTACCTAGAACTTTAGACATTAGCTTTTGCATAGTAGCATCAATTTGTGAAGGACAGAATGGAGAAGGAAGGAAGGGCGAATAAAGGAGAATGTAATCTTGTAGGACATAGATTCTCAAACTTCTTTCATCTACTGCCCACTATGACAGTTTTGAAGAGCATGAGAGGGGTCGTCTACAACAGTGCTTCTGAGAGCGAATGTCTTGTGGCAGTTGAAGAGCTGGCGCTCCCTTCGAGAAACATCGCTGTAGGGGGTAGGAGTGTGCTAGGAGTCATTAAAATTAATCAACAAATTTAGATATGATCCAAAAATCAATTTTACTTTGATTTTTCTTTCATTTGGTTCGCTCTTAATCGGAGATTATCGCTTGACTGCGCCTGTGGCTTTAAATAATGGAAGAGTTAAGAGTTCCAAAGTTACCAGTTTTTGTCATTTTCAGGCAATTGGAGCTATACCAATCATGGGAGGCGAATACTTGGTCAACTGTGACTCTATCCCAAAGCTACCAACCATCAATTTTGTTTTGGGTGGAAAGCAATTTTCCTTGGAGGGAAAAGACTACATCTTAAGGGTAAGTTTTGAATTAGACATTGCAACATTGATATTGTTGAAACGCCATATTTCGCAAATAGAGAAAATGAAATAACTGACCATCATGTCCAACAAAACTGAAACCTTGTCTGAAACTTACATATAAATTTACGTAACATGAAGAAAATGCCACGCCGGTACATAAAACTGCAAACGACAAAGTTGCACAGCTCGTGTAATGATTTTCCTGTTGATTCAATAACCGTGTACCAAGATATCTAGAATTTGAGAGAAAATAAAAGTAATAAGCTGGTTTATAGTACAACATAATTATACTTTTGAGGGCCTCTCGCCGTTAAATACATAAAAGCTGACTATTTTTTTATTAAAAGTCAATAGTTATGGGTTATCGGTGTAAGTGGCCTAAAAAGTGGTTGAGGATGAGAATATGGTCCTTTCACTGAAACAAAGCAGTTACGTGATATTTAGTAAATTTGAATGCCAACATTATTGCAAAATAGATCCTAAATTCGTACGTATAGTTTGAATTTCCCGGGTACATTTATGGTGATAACAGTTTTCTGTGTTGTGACATTGTCGCAAAACTTGTCAGGTAATTACGCCAACAGCTGTTGTTTATTATTTGTGGTTGATTCCTAGGATCCAGTAGTTTTAATTAATGTGGCAACCATGTGCGTCACTGGCATTATTTGACGTTGTGATGTAACTGCTTTGATTCAGTGAATATACCTACTGTACCTTCGAGATACGACCTTACTCGTTAATGTTGAGCATTTTTTAATGGGTTTTTTTCTGGATGTTAAGCACCTTGTGGCTGTTATTTCAGATTTACCGTTTTGCATTCACCAGTAAAAAATAAATCTATAAATCGACGATTCTGGACGTTTTTTTGTAATCACAACAGTTACATCAAATTCGCCTCATTTTGAAGAAATTTTCATCCACTTTCCACAATTTATATTGGACCATCACCTACACCAATAATTCGTATTGAATATATGCGGGAAAATGACTTTTCCAACTTTGACGATTAATAAAAAATCAGCCAACGAATTATTTTGTACCTTTCGATCAGGTACCTCCCAAGAATATAATTCCATTGTAAAACCGCTTATTACATTTTCTTTTGAAGCAGAGTCGATTTTTGGTTGGTCAGCTTGGTCTACATTTCAAACATTACTAATGTCTATTTTACAATTTTTTCAGGTTTCTCAGGGTGGTCAAACTCTCTGTCTGTCCGGTTTCATGGGATTTGATATCCCTTCACCAAATGGACCCATATGGATCTTGGGAGACGTTTTCATTGGCAAATATTATACTGAATTCGATTTGGGCAACAACCGTATTGGTTTTGCCAAGGCTGTCTAAGTTATGTATCAAGCAAATGTGTGATTTTAATAAATGAGAGTATTCTATTCATTAGCAGTTATTACAAACATATCTAAAGAACTGTGCGGTTGAGTAGTTCAAGAAAAAGTGGCTTTGGGTTATTATGATATGACATACTGTTAGTAACTGCTGATGCCACTTGGTCCAATAAATCGCAATATGGGAAGTGTGGTAAGCTTTATGAGTTTAAAGAGGTAAAACGTTATATGAAATTGTTGACTTTATAATCAACCGTTTTTAGCCAAATATGATGTTTTAGCACGTATTGTCCATACAACCATAAAACAATTTGTGCTGTGAGGAATTTACATAGTAAAGGTCGATCATCCCTTTATATATATATATATATATATATATGTTATATACACTCATAACAATGGACTTACTATTCCATACAATGTTGCATCAGACGCTAGCTCAGCAACAGATAACGACTTCTCGCTAACTCGATGCTTATGCCTTGTTTTCTAGAAGTGCTTTGTAAGCACACCAATAGTATAAATAGGCCTTGCGCCCATTTTTATGTGTTCAATACCCGGCGCGACACCGTAATGTACGCTAACTGATAAGTTCAATACCCGGCTAGGCACCGTAACAGTCACTTATGTAAACTTCGTGTTCAATTGTTAACGTTTGTAACGGACAGTAGTTACTGTCCTCAAATAATTTTTTTTTAAAAGAAAAGTTGAATTTAAATGATATAACAATTGGTGTCAGAGAAGTGGGATAGCTTCAACGTACACGCGAACGCTCACTAGTGTGGTGGATGTCTATCCTTCGAGCTACAAAGGACCACGGGCCTACAAGTAACAAGAAGAAATAAGAAGAAAGAAAACGACTAAGAAGAAGAAGCAAAAGAAGAAAGAAAAGGGCACAGCGAGCAGCAGCCACCCAACTGCAGAGAGTCTACTTGGAAACATCGAAAGAGATCCGAGAGCCTCCTCTGAAGAACACGACTGCCTCCTGATGTACCACCGGTAATGTACAATTGAATCTACTATCGTTTGCAATTATCTCTGTGTTTTTATATTTTTTGCGTATTTATTGAGTGACATCGAGCCTTACAGGCTGTCCGAAATATTTTCAATTGTCCGTGAATACGATGGCAACCCGATTGCTTTCGACTTTTATCAACGCGTGTAGAACAGCGCACCAAATGGCTGTCGAGGAACAGCGTCTCCTCGTCGTCCTACATATAAAAAACAAACTGCGCGGACGAGCAGCAGAACTCGTCAATTCCCGTAATCCATGGGAAGACATACACTCACTCCTTGTAACACATTTCGGAGATCTTCGAGATCTCACATCATTAATTGCTGATCTGCAGCACATGCGTCAACTACCAAACGAATCCCCACTAACCTTTGCATCATGACTTCAAACTCACGCGGCGAAGATGCATTCAGCCGTCAATCGACAAAACATGAACCAAGAGCAGAAAGCTGCTCAAAGTTCATTGATAGAGACTATGACTCTAAACTGTCTCCTTACAGGACTAGATTCCAATATTGGCCCGATTGTAAGATCAGGTCACCCAACAGATATCCTTACTGCGGTCGCTTTTATTAAGCGCGAACTGCAATTATCATATCTTGAGAGACAAAAATTTTCAAGAGCTCCTAACTCTAATCAAAATTCTTCCATTAAGAAACCAGGTCCGAGAGTGTGCAATTTCTGCCACCAACCAGGTCATTTAGCAAATGAGTGCCAGCGAAGACAACAGCTCTCACATAATATTCCGAGACCAGTTTTCCAGCCCCAATCATTTTCGCCTCGAACTAGCCCTAACCCTCCAGCACAAAATAATAGGCCCCCCAGTTCCAATCAGTATCATCACAGACCCTCGTTTATTAGGTCAAATGTTCCTAATACGAACGTACCAAGACCTTCTGTTATACAACAGAATCCGAGCTTCCAAAACCCTAACTTCCAAAGAAGCTTCCGACCAAGCAATTACACAAATCGAATCAACTACGTAGCCACAGATTGCTACGAATATTTCGAGTACCCTGAACATGACCTTTACAATACCAGTTATGCCAGCGAGTATGGTACAGAAACCTAATACCCTGATTACACCCCCTCGCAGTATGACGAATTCCCTGACCTGGTAGTAATAACAATTTCTGTTATGAATACGATGATACCGCTGATTATAAGCTGCAGTATCAGGATTTTCGCGAACGTTCTCCGAAAGAAGAACCGCCTGTGAAGCCCAACGACGATTCCGATCATATGATTGCGAGCTTGCAAAAGCTCAATGTCAAAGACCCTCATACAACGTCAACTCCCGACCAAATGTTTGTTTAGATAAACATATTACAGTCCCGTCGACAATTCTCTCCGTCAGCCCAAACAACTTATACTACATCAATGTTTTGAGACTTAGTTTCTCTTCCAGGTGCAGTCTGCTGTTTCTTGCGGCTGTTTGTACGGCCCAGATTGAAATCAAACCCATTAACAACACATTAGGTATTTACTTCCACGAAGATGGCACTCTCAAAATGTCTAACGAAGTTTGGACATTACTGGTTTACAAAGATCTTGAAATGATCAAAAAGGCGCTCGACGATAACAATAATATCCTGGAACACTTAACCACTCTCATAAATGAACCTACTAATCGCATGAAAGTATTTAGAAGCGAAATTACGACACATACGAGCCTTCTCTAAAAAATTTCCCGTTCCTTGAAAACCAAATATTACGAGATTTTCGACGTTACAACTAGCGCATCGCGAATGAAACGCGGTCTAATTAATGCCATAGGTACAATTTGGAAAGCAATAACAGGTAACCTCGATTCATCTGATGGTGAATATTATAATGACTGCATTAACAAAATTTCCAAAGACGAACATGAGCTTGAAAACCTTATGAAAAATCAGATCTCAGTAACCATGTCGGTTATTAAGAACTTCAATAATACTATTCAGAAACTGCAAATTGACGAAGCTACTTTTAACGAAGACATAAAGGTTATTCAAAATAGAATTTATGAAATTTCAGATGATCTTGCCTTTTATGAAGCTAGATTTCAATTCTTGGAACTTTGCGAACAACTAATGGAATGTTATATGTTTCTAGAAGAGACAATTAACGATATTCTCAATTCCATTACTTTTGCACGTTTGAAAATTATTCATCCTTCGATAATTACTCCTCAAGATTTAGTAAATTCTCTTCAAGGAATCTCTCATTCCTTATCAAAAAATAATTTACCTATGCCAGTCAATTTGGCAACAGTATCAGAATATCTCAATTTAATGGAACTTCAAGCATTTCAAACAAAAACAAAAGTAGTTTTCGTCCTACGCAACCCCTTGTTAGAACCTGATGTTTACACTTTATACAAGGCGATTCCTACCCATTTCGGATGAACGTACAGGTCTATTGCATGTAATTTCTACCTTACAGAGATACGTTGCCAAAGATAGCGATTCTCTTTTGTACGTCTCCTTTCAAAATTCGGGTAGTTGCAAAATTCTCCAATGACAGGTTAAGATCTGTTTTAACCTCTTACCGTATCCAATAGACAACAATGCAGTCTGCGAAGCACAATTGTTGCGAAATCCGGTCGAACTGCCAGCAACATGTCAAATAGCCATAGTGGCTATGCAGGATTATAAAATCCAGGAATTAGCAACGAATTTTTTGTTGATTACCATATCTAGCCCGCTGCCCATCACAATGAAATGCGGACAACATGAGACAACTACAAAGGTGATCAAAGCTAATACACTTTTGAAAATGCAGTCAGAATACAGTGGATTCATAGGCACTACAAGGCTTCATGCCAGATATTCTGTTAACGCTTATAAGAATATCACTTATAAAAGCCACCCTGTAGAGATACCCTACGAATGCTGCAATCACCTCCCTGATAAACAAAATTTGCCGAACCTAAAACCGATCAAGCTAACCAAGATCGATACAGAAGAGCTAGAGATCGCCACCAACAAGTTGAACCAGTATTCTGAACAACTTGATAAACTTATTAATGAGCCTTTTATTTCACGACATATCTCCTGGTTTACGTACGTCGTCATAACCCTGCTATCCGTCATCTTAGCCCTCGACATCTTCTGCAAGTGCAGAAAACGCCGACCACTCAGTATTTGTGCACCAAATTAGCCAGCTGATGGACCGTCACCAGGAACGCCGAAAGTCAGATACATCCCCAGGCTTTTTCCACGTCGAAGACCAACCATCCAACCCCAAGAAGGAGAAATTGAACTACAGTAGTGTTCAGTGAGTGAAAAAGTTCCAATTGTGAAAAATCAATTATCCTTTTCATTTGTTAATGACATTTTTGTACGCCTTGCTTTTAAGGTTTTGTTTCAGCTTTTACTTGTGAAGCATTGCCTATATATTATATTTTTATGTTAACAATTTTATTTTTCAGCATCTATATTTTCTGATTTTATTTTGCAATTTGTATTTTGCTATTTTATTATTCCTACCTTTATATTTTATATTTTACAATGTTTACAATTTTACATTCCTACATTTTTGCATTTTTGATTTTTTACAACGTTTACACTTTTCTAATTTTGTCAAAAGTTGTCGCATGGCAACAACTTTTTGTAATAGGGGGAAGTTGTTATATACACTCATAACAATGGACTTACTATTCCATACAATGTTGCAACAGACGCTAGCTCAGCAACAGATAACGACTTCTCGCTAACTCGTTGCTTATGCTTTGTTTTCTAGAAGTGCTTTGTAAGCACACCAATAGTATAAATAGGCCTTGCGCCCATTTTCATGTGTTCAATACCCGTCGCGACATCGTAATGTACGCTAACTGATGGATTCAATACCCGGCTAGGCACCGTAACAGTCACTTATGTAAACTACGAGTTCAATTGTAAACGTTTGTAACGGACAGTAGTTACTGTCCTCAAATATTTTTTTTTTTAAAGAAAAGTTGAATTTAAATGATATAACATATATATATATATATATAGGCTTTAGTAAACACTTTTAACGGTAATCTCGAGCTTTCGGTCCTCTATAGAACCATCTTCAGGAGCTGAAACACAAATATGAAGCTTGCAACCAATACGGGAAGGATTTAAATTATCAGACAACTTACTCGTCGCTGAGGTTGCAGCTAAATGGTGTTTCAAAACGAAAGCGTGGATGAGAGCACTTGTTGCAGTTATAAAACCAAAAGGACGGACACATTGGGTTTACTGATAACGACGGTAACCATCGTTAGGCGTTAACACTATACAGGGTGGCG